ATGGCTGAAAAATATTCCATTACATGGATACATGGCATCTTGTTTATTCATTCATCAGATGATGAGCATGTGGGTACATCTTTTGACTATTATAAATAATGTTGTTATGAACATTTATTTATGTTTTTGAGTGAACATATATTTTCAGTTTTCCTGGCTATATATCTAGGAGTAGAATTGCTGGAGTCATATGCCAATTCTATGTTTATGTTTTAGAGGAATTGATAGACTGTTTTCCAAAGTACCTGCACCATTTCACATTCCTACCAGCAATATATAAGGGTTCTGGTTTCTTCACATCCTTGTCAACACTTATTATTATCCGACTTTTTGGTTATAGCTTCCTGGTGGGTGTAAAGTAGAATCCCACTGTGGTTTTAATTTACCTTTCCTTAGTAGCTAATGATGCTGAGCATCTTTTCATGTGCATAGTGGTTATGTCCATGTCTCCCCTGGAGAAACGTCACCCGTATGTTCACTGCAGAACTGTTCACGATAGTAAAGACATGGACCCAACCTAAATGCCCATTGTTGAAAGAGCAGACAAAGAAAGTGTGGTATATATACACTATGGAATACTATGCAGTCACAAAGAAGAACTAGATCATGTCTTTTGCAGGGACATGGATGGGGCTGAAGGCCATTACCCTTAGCAAACTATAACACAGGATTAGAACACCAAATACCACACAATCTCACATGTAAGTGGGAGCTAAATGGTGAGAACACATGGACACATAGAGGGGAACAACACACACTGGGGCCTATCAGAGGGTGGAAGTTGGGAGGAGGAGGAGGATCAGGAAAAATAACTCATGAGTACTAGGCTTAGTACCCATAAATAATGAGTACTAGGAATGGGTGATGAAATCATCTATACAACAAACTCCCATGACACAAGTTTACCTATGTAACAAACCTACACATGTACTCCTGAACTTAAAATAAAAGTTAAAAAAATACATTTTAAAAATATTACATAAATGTAAACAATATCTGGAAAGGAAAGTACTTGAAACATTTTCCAATATACATGAGCATACCACTGTTTATTTTTGGCCACTTTTACATCAGAATTTGCTGATTGTGTGCTACATGGTAGATACTGTGCTAAGCACTGAGCGTACTGTAAGAAAACAGACATGATTTCTGCCCTCAGGAAGACTAAATTTAATGAGAGAATGATAATAAACAGGCAAAGTAGGAAACAGAAATGCAACTGTAGGTTGTAAAGAGCACTTTGAAAGAAAGCAATCAGTACTAGGATGGACAACAATGGCAGGATAAGGCAAACCTGTTTTGATATAGTGGTCAGGGAAGCTCTAAGGCATCAACATTTGAACTGAGACTTGGGAACTCAAAATATAAGTGCTGGCTTTCAATATTTGTCAAAAGTATGTTCAACATAAGCAGTTTCTTATATCGAACAATAAAAACAAAAAGCTTTAACATTCCAAAGGAAAAATAATTTCAACAAATAGAGCAACCTCTACCACCTTCTATAGTATGATATGCAGGGTCCAAAAAATCCAGTACCATAAAATATGGGGTAAAGGCATTGTAAGGTTAATGAAATGCACTGAAAGAGCTTACTGTGATCTCACTGTGTTGCCCAAATCCAGCAGGGTCCCAGCCACAGTTTGGAGCCACTTGATCATAGCTTTCTGCTCCATCTTAACTATAAATGGGGATGATTCTGGGTCCCTTTTACAGGCTAAAGTTCCTTGGCAGAAGCAGCAATTCCAAGAATCTAATTAGTTGATGCCTTTTTTTTGTCAGCCTGATGGAAAGACTGAGACGAGAATGCTGAAAGCACAAAGCACCACCCCTTATCTCCCTGACATTTCCCTTCATGGCCCAGTTTCTCTTCCACTTATCCTTCCCCCAAACTTGAAATTTCCAGCTTACTCCTGTTTAGAATGAGGGCTAGGCAGAGGACCAGAGAAATATAGTTGAACGTGGATTATCATGGTGGGATGGGGGAATTATTATAGGCATTAACTGCTACTTGCCCATCCAATTATCTATTTCCTGCTCTTAGTAACAGAACCCAGATTTTGTTTAGGAGGTAATGTGCCTAGTTGAATTACATGCTTCCTCAGACTCTATTGCAGTAGGCACAGTTAAGTGATGTAGTTTGACCAATAAGATGTCAATTAAGGAATTTGGGAAAGCTCTGCTTTAATGATGTAGGCACCACTTATTTCCATTTCCTTTTACATCTTCTTTCTTAGAATTTGGGGATGAGGAGGGAGACAGGGCAATCATCGTTGGACTATGAGATAATCATGAAGATGAACGGTTTATGTGAAAAATGGTGCTGGAGAAAAGTAGAAAGTAGATGGGCACTGACACCACTGCAGAGCTGCTGCCCCAACCTAGATAGCCTACCTCCAGATTTCCAGTAGGTGACAAAGCTAACCCTTATTTGACTGTGGTTAGGTTACTGTGATGACACATAGTCATCTGAAATCCTAACAGATACAGCTGTCTACCATAAACATAAACTTAACGTCTCTGGATGAATCCAAAGTTTCTAAGGTTTTAATGTAAAAAGTCCAACTCTCATGCCTGTTAAAACAGAAAATGCACAACTCTCCCAACCATATCACCCACTACAGAGTGGCAAGTACAGGTCACTAAACGAAAGCAGCACAGAAAAGTGACTTCGGAGAGGGAGTCATTTAATGCCCCTTATCTTCATCAACCCCATTCCCCAAGTCATACCACATAAACATAAATTCCAGGTAAAACTGTGCTTACCATGTAAACACACTTCCAGACAAGTTCCTTGTTGCCCTAGATTGCCATCTCTAAACTTCTCCTACATGGTAATTCTGCCACAGCCTAATTTCCAGGGAAGCTCCACCCACAGTTAAAGTTATGATTTAGGGTTCATCACTACATATACCTTGAAACTTGTAAGGAGACACATTAATGTGGCTCAAGGAATGTTAACAACCTTTTCCACTTTTGCCCCAGCTAGTTTCTACTCCAATCCAAAAACGGCTTCTTTATCACCATCCGCTTACACACACAATGCCTCACCCTCCAAAACAGAGTTCTCAAATTATGCTTACAGAGTTCATTATCCTCCAGCGTAGATCACCAAAAATAATGTATTTATACAGAAAGTACAGTTCAGATAAAGCAACATATTAATAGGCCAAATTAGAAAAGAAGGATAGCATGCTGCTAGTTTTCTATATGCACTCTTGCCGATGAGAAATTAAACTTTTTTGCATCCATGCCGGGAGCAGTGACTCAGGCCTGAAATCCTAGCATTTGCGGAGGCCGAGGCAGGCGGATCACTGGAGGTCAGGAGTTTGAGACAAGCCTGGCCAAATGGTGAAGCACCTTTTCTACTAAAAATACAAAAATTAGCAGGGTGTGGTGGTTGGCACCTGTCATCCCAGCTACTTGGGAGGCTGCAGCAGGAGAATTGCTTGAACCAGGAGGCAGGAAGTTGCAGTGAGCCAACATCAGACCACTGCACTCCAGCCTGGGTGATAGAGCAAGATTCTGTTTCAAAATAAGCAAATAAACAAAATTGCATCCAAAGTTGAATGGAGATTGCTTTTATTATTGCAAATAAGATAACAACCTTTCAAGCAGGAAAACAACAAAAAAGAAAACTATATAATGAAAATTTTTTTTTAAATCCCAAAACCAAATTATGGAAAGACTTCCTGATAAAAACTTGCGTGCAGTCAATCAGAATTACATATTATTTTCATTTCCAAGCAGAATTACTCCATCAAGTTTTCCGATATCTTTCTAAAGTTTCTCAGTAAAATTTCAGAAAAGTAATAAAAATTCACCCAAGAATGATAAAAATTGAGTCCCAAATAATTATTTGTAATTGCAAATTCTTACATGTTAAATTACCTGTTTAAGAGAGCTTTTTAAAAATTTTTAAGGGAAAATTTCGGTACTTTTTTTTTTTTTTTTTTAGGTAGGCAGGGACAATCAGGAACAGGAACAATCAGGGACAATCAGGACAATCAGAAACGGTCTTTAGCATCACCAAGACAAAGACTAAAGAAACATATAAGACACAGCTTTGGCTGCCCCTTCATCCAAGGCAATTCAAATTTCCACGGATACTAAGTCTTCAGTGTCCGGTGTCAACCTTTCATAGAAGCATACCAGAAAACGCTACGATTGCCTTCCCCACCACGAGAGTCTAAGTGACACAAATTTTGCCAGAAGTAATTATTTGGCCAAGCCAGGAGGCACGAAGCTTAAACACTGCCCCTGTAGAGGGTCTGGGGGATCCGAAGCAAACACCCCAAAGTTTGTTTGGGAATGGAGGCGCTCAGGCGCCCGGAGCCACCCCGCGAGGTTCACCTGACCAGCGCACAAAGCTGGGTAGGGGTCGGGTCTAGCCCCAGTTTGCTCCTAAGCGCTTCGTTCCCCTCAGGCTAGTGTGTTTAAATCAATACTGGGTGGCAAACGATGCCCATTCTTTGAGCTCTGAAGTTTGGAATTCGGGGGTTCTGCGGCACAAGAAAGTTCTTCGCAGACTATTTCCATGTCCAGGGCTGTCGCTGAGAGCGCATCTCCTCCCGGTGCGGCCCCGCGCTGTCCACCGAGCAGCCGGGCAGATCTCTGCCCCGTGCCGCAGCATCTTGACGCCCAGACCCCGAGGCTGTAGGGCAGCCTCTCCTACCTGGGACAAGCGGCCAGAACTCCTTTTCCCACAGGGAGGAACGCCCAGGGCCCCGGGGAGAGTGCGCATCCTAAGGAGATATCTCCCAACCCCTAGACAAAGACTGCGCTGGGAAAAGTTGGACCAACTGGCACCCCCGGAAGGCGAACAGAGGAGCCCCTCGGTCTTGGGGGCCGAGCCGGCAACGCGCTCTCGGAGTCGCGGCCAACTTTTCCCGCGAGGTTCTCAGCAACTTGCCACAAGTTGGGGCGAGGGGGCAGAGCAGGGGTCAAGGGCGCGCGGAGGGGCTGATGTCGCCCCAGCCGGTTCCTCGTACCTCCCCGCGTACCTGCTGATGTATCCGTCCCCGTCGCCGTCGCACGTCTGGAAGAGGCGCCGCATCCTCTCCTCCTCGCCGGTGCTGGACGTGTCGCTGCTGCTGCCGCCGCCGCCGCCGCCGCTGCTGGCGCTCCCCGCAGCCGCTGCCGCAGCGGCCGCCATCATGTGCCCGCTCCCTGCTTGGGAGGAGGAGGACGCGCGTCCGCTGCAGGAATCCGCCGGGAGCGCAAGCTGCCTGCAGTCCAGAACCTGACTGACAACGGAGCATGCCCAGTGGCCGCCGAGGCGCTCCGGGCGAGGGATTCCACCTCTCCGGGTTTTGCCCGGGCTGGGAAGATGGGCGCCCTGGAATCGCCCGAGTGAGCACCTCAGGGAAGAGGGAGGAAGGGAAGGTGGCTGGAGCAGTCAGGAAGCCAAGGGTGGCAACGGGAACGCGAGAGGAGGCAGAATACACCGGAGGGCCCCGGGAAGGGTGTCAGCATTGTGCAGCTGGCCACGACGCGGGCCGCGGACACTTGGGGACGCTTCAGGCAAAGGGTGGGTGTTCTCCTGACGGAACTCCTCCGACCGCCGGGAGTCTTGGATTCCTTTTCCAGAAAAACCATCAACACTCCCCGTTCTACAAACTCAAAACGGTGCTTGTCATCTCACTTTCCAGGAATGTTCCAGGTTTTGTACCCATATCACCCAGTGAGAACCGGAATGACTGGCCTTTTTATGGAATTTTGACACCTGTCAAGAAACCTGGCCCTCGCAGCCCTGATCTTGGCTTCCACTCTGTACTGCGAACAGTCTGCAGTCCTCCGTGGCATTGTGCACGTTGGGTCCATTTCTGGAAACGGCTCACTGCACTGGCCAGGCATCACTGGAATTTGTCCCCTACAGCTTTAATAATGCCAAGAGCAAACATAATAGATGGTCTCATTTGATCCACACTACAGACTTGGAAGATGCCTCTTTTACTAGCAATCCTACGACTTAGGAAGTATTAATAGATAAGTACCTTACAGAGGTATCTTGCGTATAAAAGGAGAGCATACATAACGCAATTAGGACAGTGTCCAACACGTACTAAGTGCTCAACAAATGTTTGCTCTCATTGTTCCCAATTTACAGATAAGAAACCCGAGGTACCAAGACCTGGTCAAGGTTCCAGGTTTAGTAAGTGTCAGGGCAGAGGCAAGTCCAGACAGCCTAACGCCGGAGCAGGAGCCATTAAACCCTGCACTACTCTCCCGTAGCCAAAGAGGAACCACAATGAAGCAATTTGCGGTTTAGTGAATGACTCATTATTCTGTCCTAGATTTTCTGCCAGAGGCCTGTGAAGTTCTCTGGTGGTTTTAAAATATGTTCACAGATTTTTTGGTGTATCCCTCATCAAGAAGTGGAGTCTGCTGCTTCCCCTAAACCTGACTAGACTTGTGACTGCCTTGACTTCTGAGGCTAGGTTAGAAAAGGCAATGCAGATTCCACTGGCTATCCCTTGGAACATATACCTCTGAAGCCCTGAGCTTCCTGAAAAGAAGTTTGGCTAACCTGAAGCTGGAGAAAAGATGCAGAGAAACCATGTAAAGAAAAAAGAAAAGGGATGACCAAAGAGTTAAAGCTGTTCTAGCCCCCGGATCTTTGAATCTTCCCAGACTAGGTGCCAGACATGAGGTCTGGATGCTGCAACTGCATTAGAGACCCTGAGCAAAACTGGCTAACCAACCACCAGAGCTGTGAAGTTAATAATAATTGTTGTTTAAAGCCATCAAGTTTTGAGGTGGTTTGTTATGCAGCAATAGATAACTGGAGCAAGTTTATATGTCTTGGGAACATCTGCCAGGTCAGAGGGAAGGGAACTCTGCCCTCTTTCTCCCCGCTCCACGCCATCTACCTAGTCCTACTTCTTTATAATTCTCTAAGTTCCCAAGATTTCAGGGCACTGAAATCGTAGATTAATGGGTTATTGAGTTAATGGGTTTTCATGGGAGTGGGACTAGTGATTTTATAAGAAGACTAAGAGAGACCTGAGTTAGCAGACTCAGGCTCCTTGCCATGTGATGCCCTGCCCTGTTTTGGGGACTCTACAGAGTCACCACCAGCAAGGTGGCCCCTTGACCTTGGACTTTTCAGTCTCCAGAACTGTAAGAAATAAATTCATTTCTTTATAAATCACCCTAGTTTCAGGTAGTCTGTTCTAAGCAACAGAAAATGGACTAGACCAGAAATTAGTACCGAGAGTGGGGTATTAACCACAACAAATACCTGAAAATGTAGAATCATCTTGGAAACTGGATAATGAGCAGAGGCTGCAAGAATGAAGCAGCAGTCTAGAAAAAGCCTAGGTTATAGAAAGGGCTTAGAAGGCAAGAAGAACAGGGAATGTCTGGAACTCCTTAGAAATTGGTTAAATGGTCATAATCAGAATGTTGATGGAACTATGGACATTAAAGGCCATTCTGACAAGGTCTCAGATGGAACTGAGGAACAAGTTGGAAAATGGAGTAAAGGCCATCCTTGTTATAAATTGGCAAAGAATTTGAATGAACTATGTCTGTGCCTGAGGGCATTGTGGAAGGCTGAACTTGAGAGAGATAAACTAGGGTATCTGGTCAAAGAAATATCTAAGCAGTAAAGTATTCAGGCTGCTGTGTGGCTACTTTTAACCACTTACATCAAGCTGTGAGAGGGGAAAAAAAAACCCTTAAAGAGGGAATTTATAATCATAAGAGAAGCAAAGTGGAAAGATTTGGAAAACTCTCAGCCTGGCCATGTAAAGAGTGAAAAGATGTGTTTGGGAGAGGAAACCAAAGGGCGTAGCCCAGCAACCTCTTGCTAAGGAGATTAGTAAAGGGAGAAAGTATCATCAAGAGAATGAAAGACCTCAATGGCATGTCAGAGAACATTGAGTTGCCCCTCTCATCACAGACCCAGAGGCAGGAGGACAGAATGGCTTCAGGAGACAGACCCAAGGCACTTTTCATGGGCTTGCTGCCCAGGGCTCTCTCAGGTCTTTGTTTCCCAAATTCTGGTACAGTGCTTCTTAGACATGACATCTGTGGTTCAAGCAGCTCCAGGTGTGAATTGACCTGCCACTTAAGAAGGTAAGAGCCATGAGCCTTAATGGCATCCATATGGTTCAATTATAATTCTTCAGATTTGCAGAAAGCAAGAGCTGTGGAGGTGTGGGGGCCTCCACTTAGATGTCAAAGGGTTTTTGCTGAAAGCCTGGGTCCAGGCAAAAATTTGTAACAGGGGAAGAGCACTGCAGAGAGCTCCAACTAGGGCAGTGTTAAACAGAAATGTGGGATCAGAGCTGCTGCAGAGAGTTTCCAACAGAGCAATGCCCAGTGGAGCTGTGGGACCAGGACCACTAGCAGGACCCCAGAACTGTGGAGTCACTAGCAGCATGCAACATCTGCCTGGGAAAGCTTCAGGCATGAGTCTCCAACCTGTACTGGGCAGTTATACGGGCTGCACACAGCAAAGCCATAGAGGCCGGGCTGTCTAAAGCCTTGGGGGCCCAAACCTTGCTCTAGTGTGTCCAAGAAGCAGCACATGGAATCAAAAAAGATTATTCTCCAGCTTTAAGATGTAATGTCTTCCCTGCTAGGTTTTGGACTTCCTTGGGATCTGTTGCTGTTTTCTTTACGTTTATTCCTTCCTTTTGGAATGGGAATGTCTGTTTTATGCCTGTACCACTATTGTATCTTGAAAGTGGATAATTTGCTTTGATTTCACAGGAAGATGATATTCTGGAGTTTGGATTTCTGAGTTGGTGCTGGAACAAGTTAAGACTTTGGGGCTACCAGAATGAAATACATGTATTTGTATGTGAGAAGAACATAAGTTTGAGGGGGCCAGGGACAGATTGCTATGATTGAATGTTTGTACCCACTTGAAATTCATGTTAAAACAATTCCCAATGTGGCTGTATTGAGAGGTGATTGGGTCATGAAGGCCCTTCCCTCATAAATAGATTAAATTATTCATAGATTAATGGGTAATCATGGGAATAGGACTGTTGGCTTTACAACAAGAGGAAGAGAGTCCTGAGCTAGCATACTCAGCCCCTTTGCCGTCCAATGCTCTGTGCCATCTTCAGCCTACAGAGTTCCCACTAGCAAGAAGGCTGTTCACCAAATGTGGCCCCTCAACTTTGGACTTCCCAGCCTCTGGAACTGCAATAAACAAATTTCATTTCTCTGTGAATTACCCCAGGTTCAGGTAGTCCGTTATAAGCCACAGAAGACAGACTAAGACACTATCTACTATCTAATAATATTTTATTGAAACTTGCTACCAGCAACACAAATATTCCTATCTACAACAAAACAAGAACCAAAGCCCAAAAGTATATATATATATATATATATGGATAGATAGATAGATAATTTTTTGTCCTAATTTTTCTAATTTTTATAGAATAAAACTTCTGTTGTTTGACAATACAGCCAGACGGGAGTTGGCTCAAATTTTTCTAGAGAAATGCCAGTTTAAGACTGAAAAAGAAATAAAAAAGCATTTTTCTAAGTACAACATGTATGGAAGTTCTGGAAACCCAAAGGATTTTGCAAAATTTGAACACATCTCTCTATAACCACAGTTCATGTACACAGAATGGACAGTAAAGCCCAACCAATTACATTTCAAAGCAAAGAATATTTTTCTCCTTACAGAATATTACAACAGCTATGGATGTTTAAATTTAAACAAGTTTGAATTAAATTTAAACACCCAAAAAGTGAATTTTGACAAATTTCCTAAACATTTTTTTCATGCTTGGGTAACTCAGAAATGGCTGAGCAGATAGGTTCAACATCTCAGAAGAAAATTTGCTTCTGAGTTGATATGAAACATGTGAAATTTCAGCCTAAACGGTTAACAGGAGAGAGAGAAATTTGTAAGACATTGAAAATAGAGATGCCATATGAATATAAAGATGATAAATATAAAGGAGGAGTTTTGAGTGAGAGCCACTCTCTTAAAGAGTGAGGGATATATACCTACTGCCATAAATCTAACAGCACTGGTTATGTCATAATTAAAACGTTTCATGTATTTATCTGAGTACACAGCTCAACCTCTTTGTTCTTATTCAGCTTTTCCCTTTTATTTATATAGTACATTTCAGAAAACACTATACACATTACAAGATATCCTACCCCATATGTCTAAAATTACGAGTTAAAATAAATAAAACAACTGCAGTGCTTTGTAAACTTGATAATCTGGTGCCTGTCCTTCCAAATTTGATTTACCTAAGCTAAGACTATATG